AATCCAAAAATGGGCAAAGAACTTAGATAATTCTCAAAAGAAAACATACAAATGGACAACAGATATATGGAAAAATATTCTTTATCACTAAGTATCGGGATACTTTGGATTAGGCAGAGGGGAGTGCAGGGAGGGGGTAGGGAGGGGAGTAGGAAGAATAGTAGACTGAATCGGACATTATTACCCTATGTGCATATATGACTAAGGTTTGAAGACCTTGGAAGCAATTGTAGGTTAGCTGCACTGTCTTTTCCCATTAGTTCTCTGACAACTATAACTTACACAGCCTATGGCATGTCAGCACTTAAATCTGATCAAAGGTGCTGGAAGTGTTGCTCATGAACCTTTAGAAGACAATGAAGAAGTGGAGCAACATATTCAGAACATTAAATCAAAAAGTACAGTTGGTAGACCTTTGCCAGCACAAGATTCAAAAGCAATTTGAAGAAGGGTTATGAACAGGTAGGAGAAGAGATAGGCACTTAGAATTCATTGAAAACAGCTGGTGAACAAAATTTTGTGGCACTCTGTGTTCCCTGAAGATCATCTGGGAAATATTTTTCATCTTGGTTGCTTTGCTATTTGTAATTTTTCTTTTCTTGTCAAATTTAAATAAAGTTCTTCATTCAATTGGAATAGATTCTGGTTTCAGATATTATATTACTGATAATAATAATAACTCAAGTAATCCACTGACTATGCTTTTTCCTTTACTCATTTTCTCTCTTGCTGATATTCTTATAACGATTATTATTATGCACTTTATTTTTACTTTAATGGCAGGAATTAGAAATATACTGCCAGATGGCCCTTTTTAATTACATTATATAAAATCAGAATAAATAAAAGTGGACCTCAAGCACTCATATTTCTTGGTATTATACTTCTATTTATTGTCCTTCATATTAGATACCTGATTTATTTATTCATGTATTTATTTATTTTTATTTTGGGGGGAAAGAGAGAATTTTTTAAAAATATTTATTTATTAGTTTTCGGTGGACACATCTTTATTTTATTTTTATGTGGTGCTGAGGATCGAACCCAGCGCCCCGCACATGCCAAGTGAGCATGCTACCGCTTGAGCCACATCCCCAGCCCATTAGATACTTGATTTATAATCTTGCTCCCCAGTATGTTGTGTAGGGAAGCCAAAGTACTTAACAGAGAGCAATGCAACTTCTAATGACCCCCTGTGCCAAAGAGAGGTGATGCAGATGCCCCTGAAGATCAGTGCACTGTTACCCAGACATTGCTTCACAAGTTCTGGATTTTAAGTGCTGCATACTATTTCAGTAGTTGGGCCTTTCTTAGGATATTTTTTATTGCACTAATTGTATCCAGTTGTAAAGGGAAGGAGTAGATGAAGATTCAGACCTAAGTGATGATAAGCCCTCTTTTCTGTTTGACAGTCTTCTGTCTTAAAGGTTTTATAAAGCTGATGTTTTTATAGTTTTAAAGTTCTACATTAGTATAAACCAGCTTCCATCAAAAATGAAAGCATGGCCATGAAAAGGAGCTGTACTTTTTATGTTTCTGAAGTAACATCATTGAATCACAGATTAACATTTAAAATCACTAAAAGAATAGTGTGTAAATATGAAACCACTGCTTTGTGAGGAATGTTTGTCGGACAATTTTTTCTTTAAATATATAATAGTGGGGCTGGAATTGTGGCTCAGCGGTAGAGCGCTCACCTAGCATGGGTGGGACCCAGGTTCAATCCTCAGCACCACATAAAAATAAAGTCATTGTGTTGTGTCCATCTACACCTAATAAATATATATAAAATAGTGTTAGGTTGATTTTAAAATCTTCCAGAATTAATATTCGCTTTTGTGGCATTTTAAAAAAATAATAGCAAATCACTTGTGTTGTTAAAAAACTATGTATAGTGAGTAATTCCTAGTGAGTAATTCCTACTATGTCCTTATTCACATCACCTAGTGGCATGTGAAGAAGACAAATGGATCTCAGAGAAAGACAGCTGAACAAGTGCTGACTTAATTGCAGCTTTGGTCCCAGGTATATTTAATCTCCTTGATGTCTAGTTTGTCACTATTAACCTGGAAAATGTTTTTCCCCCATTCCTGCTAGTAAAGATCACTATAAACAACTTATTTTTGGTAACCAGAACCAAAAACAACACTTGGCTGTCTTACCTTAGTTATTCTAGCATTTCAGGTCCTATTTATAATCTAATCTATAGTGAATTAGTCACTACTCCAAAGAACACCTCAGTTATTCACTGTATTGTTAATATGGTCCTGCCAAGCAGGATGTAGTAACCACTCTAGATATCTGGTTAAGACACACACAAACACACCACAGTGTGGAAAATGATTCTCAAAAATATTCAAGGGCCTATCATCTTAGTGAAATTTTTAGAAGAGTAATGTTCTGGGGAAGTCTAGAGGTCTAAATAAAGGACAAGTTCCTATATGTTATACCATTACATCAATTTGTGCCATTTCGTATTTGGGAAGAAAGAAGCACTTCATTTTGGCGTGATATTCCAGCATAGTTACCAAGTAACTTCAATTTTGAATAAGGCCCAGACCAAAGATGGATGTTCACAGCTTCCAGCTGCCTTGAAAGTTGCCCTGACACTTGTTCTGTGTAACCCAGAAGATTCCATAAAGCATCTGTGGCATAGAGGATATGTAGGATTCTCTTAGAAGATTCCTGAAGATCAATCATGACCTCAGCCTTTTTTCAGTCTTAGCAAACATATCCCTTCTTTGGCAAATACCAAATCTACTTTTAGGAAAGAACTTTTGGCTTAGTGCTGGACCCTAATTGAGACTGAACACTTAAATAAGGGCCAGCAACATATCATGCAACCTGAGCTTCCCAAAATTAACTTGGTATTGTGACCCAAAAGCTATTAAGTTGGGCATGTCCAGTAACACTCTATAGTCATATTGAACTGGTACCTGCAAGATTGGGCTCGAGCAGATCCTGAAGACATGTTTCATAAACAATTGATCTACAAGCTCAAGGCCCCTACTACATTGCCTTCTCTCACTACTATGCCTAGAACCTCATGGAGATAATCCTCTGACCATCAGATCGAGAAAGAAAAAAATGTAGCCCTTTTATAGATGGCACGGTCTCCTAGTTCTATCACCATTTACTATAGAGTATCTTATTTATTTAACTGTCCTACGTTGCAAGACATCTAAGATCTCTGCATGTGTGATGCCCTGGGTTTGATCCCCAGTACTATAAATGGAAAAAAAGACATCTAACATATCTGAGTCTTCAGCAAAAAAAAAAAAAAAATAGGCCAGTAGCTTTTGTTGTCATCCTCACCACTGAAAGCATCCACATTTAAGGAAGATTATATATCAATAGGTTATCAATATTCTTGCACTCATTGCTGTTGTCATTATCCCACCAACATCTTATTCCATAGATCAGATCCTCCATCCACATTATCTTTCACAAAGCTTTCTTTACACACCTCTTAATCGTGGAGGCATTGGCATTACCCTCTCCAAACTCTACACCTATTAAAATAATGAAGCACCCATAAATCACCACCAGGGGGCAGGCTACACATAGCAAAGTTTACCCATCACTTTTTCCAGCTTTGCTTAAGGGTAAACTTGGAAAAAAATATTTAAGTGCTCTCCCATTTGAGGAATAAGTCATATCTATTCTCCAACACTCTGGCAGAAAATTTAGGAGAAGTAAATACTTCCAAACTCATTATAAAAGTTCAGTATTAACCTGATATTAAAACAAACAAAGGAAATTACAAAATTCAGCCTTCATTCCTGATTTTTTTTAAATTTTTCAACAAACAGTAAAAAAATAATAATAATAATTTCTCAGTCTATTAGGGTACCAATGTAAAGATTTTTTTAAAAAATCTTTCAACAAACAGTAAAAAAAATAATAATTTCTCAGCCTATTAGAGTACCAATGAAAAACTATAATTTTCAGACTTAATGATGAAAGACTGAATAGTTTTCTAACCACTTCTATTCAGCCTTGTAGCATATGATCTAGCAAGTACTGATAGACCCAACCTGATTTTCTCTTACAATTGGGAGCCATCTTGCCACAAAGCCATGAAAAGCTAATTCCGGCTCTAGTATAAATTACTGCAAATTCTGAACTAGCTTGGAATGCCTGCTCATGCCTGGCTCTCTCTGACCAGATAGCAGCCCTCTCTGAAACTTTAGTGATGCCTCATAAATCTTGGCCTTCCCTGGCCTGATAACCACCCTCTCTGAGGCTCTAATGATTTTCATAAATTCTGATGCCAGGGCCATCAAAAATATTATGCTCGTCAAAGTTTTGTTATCTGTAACCCCCCCTTTGTGTAACTTTCTGGGCTATAAAGTTGGGCTGCAAGAAACCTGCGGTGCTGTCTTGTTCCCGCGGTTTGGGGTGGGAGAGGCCGCCTGCCGGTCGAAATAATAAGCTTGCTTTAATTTGATTTTAATTGGAGTCAGGGGTCTTTTCTTGCATCCTGGTCTAACAGTACAATAAGCCAATAACAGTGAATAAAATAAAATCTATATTAGAATTTGAAAATACACTAATTCACTGACATGGTCATCTATAAAGAAAATCCTACATGATCTATAAAAAAAAACTAACAATAAAGTTTTGTAAATTTGCAGGATATACAGTTAAACAAAAATCTACTATAATTCTATATACTCACAACCAACAATCATAAATTGAAGCAAAAGTCAGTATCGTTTAAAAGTCAATGTCATTTAAAAGTACATCCAAAATATAAAATACTTAGGGATAATTTTTTAATATGCAAGATATGTTTACCGAAAACTTCAAAACATTGCCAAAGGAAATTAAAAGAAAGAAAGTAATGAATGGATACAATGTATTTATGATACATTCTTCAAAAGAAATGCATATATTCATCAGATAATAATTATGTGTCTATAACATTCCAATCAATATTTTGTCTCAAATTTCCAGAATCTAAAATATCAAAGAAAGAAATATAAAGTTGCATCATAGTTAATGAGACAGCTTTATCTTATCATTTATGAGATCTTTCTATAAATCACAAGCTGTCTGCATACTCTCTTCATTGCTGCCTTCATCTCTTTATTCCTCAATGTGTAAACGACTGGATTCAGAAAAGGAGTGAGAACTGCATCAAAAATAGCAAGAAATTTGTCTATCTGTGAATTAGAGTGTGGCCATGCGTAAACAAACAGTGCCGGACCAAAGAACAAAAGGACTACAGTGATGTGAGCTGAGAGAGTAGAGAGTGCCTTGGAGGAACCACCTGAGGAATGTTTCCAGACAGTGAACAGGATGAAGATGTAGGAGATGAGAAGCATAAAGAAAGAGCCAACGCAGATAAACCCACTGTTGACAGTGACCATGAACTGCAATTTGTAGGTGTCTGCACAAGCCAATCTGAGAAGCAGAGGGAGGTCACAGTAAAAGCTGTCCAATGTATTAGGGCCACAGAAGGGTATATTAATAAGAAATGCCAGTTGGAACAGTGAGTGAATAACGCCAAGACCCCAGGCAGCAGCCAAAAACAAAATGCACATCCGTGGGCTCATGATGGTCAGGTAGTGCAGAGGCTTGCATATGGCCACATATCTGTCAAAGGCCATGGCCATGAGCAGCACCATCTCCACACCACCAATGAGATGGATGAAGAAGATCTGGGTGATGCAGCCTCCAAAGGAGATGACTTTGCGCTTTCTGAAAAGGTCATAAATCATCTTGGGAGAAGTGACAGAGCAGGCTCCTAAGTCAATGAAGGAGAGACCTGCCAGTAAGAAGTACATGGGGGAGTGCAAGTGAGGATCAGTGGTCACAGAAAACACAATGAGGATGTTGCCAGTCATGGTTGCCACATAGAGCACAGAGGAGAACACCAGGAGGAGAAGCTGGATCTCCCACGAACGAGTGAGTCCCAGAAACACAAACTCAGACACCACCGAGTGATTCCCTCCATCCATTGATCCAGCCAACTGGGCTGTGGCTAAACTTACAAGAATTGAGAAAATGAGGAGGAAATTTTGATTATGGGGATAACAATGTGCTAAAATCATTACAGAGTTCTCATTGGGAATGAACAGTATAGCATAATCTAGTTATTCAAATGTACAAAAATAATAAAAGCAATATAATATCATCACAATGTGTAGGCTGCAGCAGGATATAAACATGTCACCAACCCTCTCATTGTAATGTTCTCTTCTCAAATTAACAAATTTGGCAAAAACAAATGATTAATGAATATACATAATGTTCATCGGGTATTTAAATCACTGTAGCATTGACTTTTTTTTCATTTCCAACATATTCCATGCTGCATTTATGCATATTCTCATAGTTCCCTTCCCTCTCCAGTTCACACAATTCTCTAATAGAATGTCTGGATAAGAGGAAAATATCATGATTAACAGAGGTGTCTGAGTCATGAATTGAGAGTGAATTAAGGTAGGCTATAGATGGAGAGTATAGAGAAACCAGGATATGAGAAATTAGCCCTCAACCATAGGACAACAGGGGAAATATGTGCACATTCACTTGCTTAAAAACATCTTTTCTCATGTTCACTGCTATCTAGTGCCTCCTGTTTCAACATAATCTTTCATTATTATATAACCCTCAATGGCTTCATGCCCTGTAAGATTTCATAGGAAACCTGTTCTGCCCATCATGTTTTTCTCTAGACCTAATAAATGTGCATCTGGAGAATTTCACCTGAGTTTCTACTAAGAAACAAGTCTAAAAAGCCTAAAGAGGATGTAGCATAGATCTTCATGAAGATGTTGAGAACTAGCTCTTGGAAGAGCTATTAGTGTGAATTCCTCTGTGTCTCAGCCTCTTCTTGATATCAACTTTTAGGTCCCTTGGCATTCCTCACCTTGTGAAGTATTCAGTACCTCCACATAGTAAATAACACTTGGTATTATTCTGATTATATTGTCTAAAATTTATTCAGATACAGGTATTTTCTCTTCAAGGAATTTGGGAGCTTTATACTTTAAAATTCATGATTATAAAACGAGATGAATTTCAAACATTAATAGGTCACTTTTGAGAAGGTTCCGTGAGCTTTCTTATTGACTTTAAGAAATGTCTTATTGACTTTAAGGATGACACTGGACTTAGTCCTTTAATGCATATTATATTTATGTGTGAAGTAGAGGACGAGCAAATTAAAAACTTACTTCTCTTTATCCAAATTGATACTCACCTCAATCATTTCCTAAAGTAGAAAGCACTTCCTGAAAACACCTAATAAAGGTTATTTTTAGAAGTTTCTGAGGTACAAATAAAATAGGTACTCTGACATCCTATTTTTTTGTAGCTACAATTTCAGACCTTCTCATACAAAGGGCCATCTGCCTAATGCCATCATTCATCCTGGACTCCAAGACTTAGAGACATACAATGTCTTCCCTCCTATCCTTGTCACCACCATTAGCATGAGTCTCTCTCTAGTATCATCTACACATAGTCATTACACTTTCACTTCCTGAGCTTATAGTCCACAAACTCCATGTGTATACTTTTCAAGACTAGAAACCCATAGCCTGGGGTAGGAGCAGGAACAACCACAGGTCCTACCCATGTGAGTAGGGTGAGTCAGCATGGGACTAACTGGATGAACATGCATGCAGAGATTATGATCACTTGGAAGGAGGCAGGAAAATGTAGTCATTGTTGATAAATAGCTACAGCCTTGGTGAGGGAAAACACATGTCTCCAGTGTAATGAGATGAAAATGTACATGGAATGTATAAAGAAAATTTTGTCCAAGCTCACCATCATTCACATGGAAAACCTGGGACTCAGAAAAGCAAGCTGAGCCTCGAAAATTTACACAATTTGCAGAATGGGTACCAGAACCCAGGTCCCATGATTCTTATTTTATAAAACATGATATGAGGGCTGAGGCTGTGGCTCAGTGGGAGAGTTGCCTCACATGTGTGAGGCACTGGTTCAATTCTCAGCACCACATATAAACAAATGGTTAAACTACGAGTTTGTCAACAATTAAATAAAAATTTTTTAAAAGATATGATATGATAAATCATAATTATAACCAAGTAAAATGAGAAAATATTCAAGTTAAAAAATAGTCAAGTAAAAACACCAAACTCGAAGCACAGAAAAAGATGTTTTTCCTGGTTAAAACCCAAACTAACAAGAGACATTCATAAAATATATTATGAATACTAAATTATATAGCAACAATACCAAATAAATAGTATATATAATATATACTTAAAAATTACTTAACATGAAAGTAATTGTTCATTACTATCATGTTTTGTGTACTCATTCTTCTATTTTTCTGGTTGTATAACTAGTCTCTACAGCTGTTAAAATCTTAAGGTCATGCTTTTAAGAAGTTCATCCTTTGAGTCTTTCTAAATTTTATTATCCTGATAGGTCAATTAAAATCCCAATCTCTTCTTGTAGTTTTACTGACAATTCTCCTTCATAATGATTTGTTCTTTTTTAACTCCTGTAAATCAAAGAACCAAGAAAATAGTTGAAAAACATGAATGGTACATATAACAAGCACAGCCTAATGTAGCATGTAATAAATATCAAATGAATACTAAGTTAAATGTCTGGCAAGGTTGTAGGGGGAGGTGCTATAGGGATTCAAGGGCAGAAGGTAGAAATTTATCAAGAGCAGGACAGCTCTTCCAGTGACAGAGACATTGATATGGATTTTCAGGGATTTATTAAAAAATGAATAGGAGACAGAAAAAGTACAGCAGATGTAAAAAGTACCTTAAATCATATAAAATGAAGAGACTTTTAGTATTAAATATTATTATTCTTGTATATATAATAGATGTTATATCCTCAGGTATATACAGTGAATAGCTGTTTACTCACAGGTTAGATTTATAACTCCACCCTGTATAAAGACCGTACATTCAAGTCAATGGTATTTGTTATTCCTGGTTCTCTTCTCTACATCATATTTTCTAATACATTCAGCATTCATAAGAGAAAATGTCTAATTTAAAAATTTATAGAAGCATGACTAATGGTCTCCCAGTGAAAATATATTTTATATACACATATATGTGTGTGTGTGTATGTGTGTGTGTGTTATAATATATATACATATGTAATTCTTTCTGAGGATAAGATAGCACTTAATTCTCAAACTTACAACCAAGCATCCAATTGATTTTGCTGAAGTCTACAGGATAATCTGAGACACAGACAAAGTAGAATGGAGATAAAATGTGACAGAATGAAGATTAGAAATATGAGGAAATTAGTAAAGATATGCACAATGATAAGAAAACTAAAGGAAAGACGAAGACAAAAGAGAAAGAGCTGATAATATTCAGGTAGTATAAAATATGGGAGTGTGCATTTTTGAGAATATAGGTTATAGAAATAGAGACTTAATAAAATCAATCTCTCACCTTTAATGCAGATTCAGGACTTCTCCTAACTTTGACATTGGGTTGAATTTAAAGGTAAGATTTTTCTGTTACCTGTCTTGTTGGGCTCATAGAGATTCTGTGAAACTCAATAAATGGAAAGATTTCCTTTTATATTACACAATTATATATAAACATAATTCACTGTAAAACTATAACTATTTTGATTTCAGAAACTTAACATATACTAATCAGGAGAAGGATGTGGACAGAACAGCAGACCACAGGCACATGAAATTCTCCCTAGGGTTCCTTTTCCTTGTTTTCCACCACACCAGGAGAACTCTCTGTCCAGTCAGCTTGTTTTCCTGCGGGTCACAGTAGTTATTTTCAAAGACTTTGGT